TCGACTGATGCAAGAAGCAATTCTGGGAGCATGGTACTGGTAAAGATATGCCAGAGGGACACAAAATGAATATCCTGGTCCCTTCCCCTCACTCCACTCCCCTGTTACTCAGAGCTTGAGAGACTAGAGACATTTCCATTTACTGAAACTCTGAAATTATTGATAAAGTAAAAGTTGGAAAAAAAGGGTCGCAGAATGTGTGGCATATTTTAAATGTTTAACATTTTTAAATTAATACTGTTAACACATAAACACAAAATATATGATTGCGTGTAGAACTTTATTTTATGTATAACGAAAATTTAAAGGAGGCCATTGATGAGTGTCCCCCATAGGCCTTGCTTCTACCTCCAACTTTCCTCTTAGTTATACAAGCACACCTTTCTCTAGTCTCTGTTGTCAGCCTTAGCATAAAACAAAGACTGAGAGAACCTCAGCGAGTTCCGGAAGTTTGAACACGGGTGGGAAGGAAGACCATGCTGGGTATTTGGCTGCTAGGAAAGCGGGCCGCCTTGGGGCCTGCACTCCCACCTTCGCCACCTCTGCTTTCCAAGTCATGGCTCACTGACCTGCGAGCCGCCCTCCTCTGGGAGTGCGCTTGTGCGCGGCCTCGTTGGCTCTCTCTCCGTTCCCGACTTTGATCCGGGAACCCCTCCGTGTCCAGCCCTCGGGGAGGACGCACACCTCTCCACGCTCCCAGGGCTCTCCCGGGCTCGCGTGTCCGCAGGCGGCGCGCTAGAGAGCAAACCAAACTGGCCACGCTGTGCGCTCGGAGGAGCCGGTGGTTCCGAAGGTCACTTCGACCTTTGAGTCGAGAGTCAGGGAGATCTGCCCGCCCGCCCGCGTCCTGGAGCGCCCAGAGGCCTGCAGGCAGCCCGGGGACCCAGGCTTCGACTCCCTCGGCCGGCGCCTTCCTTCCCGGAGCCGGGCCGCGCCGGGCAGGGCAGGCCTCGCGGGGCTGGGGCCCGGGCCGCGCTGGGACGTGGGGCCGAGAGCGCGGGAAAGCGGGCGGCGCGCGAGGCCGGTGGGGGCGCAGCTCCTCCGGGGCGCGGGGGAACCCAGCCTCGCCGGCCGGGCCTCCGCTTTCCAGCGCCAGCGACACCGGGTTAGGCTGCCCCATCCCGCAGGGCCCAGGAGACCCGGACGGCCGCCCGATCTGAGAAGCCTGGTTCCTCCCCAGCCCCAGGCGCCCCTCGCCTTTCCACTGCCCCAGGAAAGGAGTCGGGGGAGAGGAGGCCGAGGCTCTGCCTAGAAGCTTATTCCAGAGGCTTTGAAAAAGGAGGTTTCCAGCCTCTGCACACGCGCGCGCTCTCGGGGTAGATTTTAGAATCTGAAGAGTCTGGATTGAAACCACGTCCTTCCCCGGGTCGCGTCTTTTTGGAGAGCGCATCAAGTGGCCGTGTTGCGTGGTGGGGGTTTTGTCTAAGTGGATAAGTGAATCGTGTTGGGCGAGTTGACGGGAGCAACCTGTTCCGCGTCCCGTGGTGTATGGAATTGCACTCGCCGCTGTCACCCTCCGCAGACGGGGCGAGCAGTTGCCCTCCGACCTGGCGCGGCCGCTCCTGTTGGGGCCCGGCTGGCGGGCAGTCGAGGAGAGAAGCTTGCTCGCCGGCCGCCGCCCCGCCCCCGGGCCTCCGGGGGCGTCCCCGGACCCTGACAGCCCTCGCCCGGAGGCCGGCCGGCCGACTTATTTCCCTGAGGAGAGGGTAGAACGGCCAGTTAGTGAATGATTGATTGCTTAAGGAGGGAGAAGCTACAGCTTTCGCTCTAGCTGATGGCTAAAGCATGACACTATGCCATCTCTGTGAAACTCATGATTTGTATGATCATTATTTCGCTGGAACATTCAGACCCTCATCGTGCGTACAGTGTTTTCTTATAAGCAGCACTTGCCAATTTAAAACCAGGTCCTGGGTGCCCTTCTTGCTAATCTCCTCTGCCATGAGTCGGATTAAATCCTTTTTTAATCCCCTCTCTTCCTCTCTTTTTCCTTCCTTCCTTCCTCCCTCCCACCCTCCCTCCCTTTTTTCCTTCCTTCTTCCCTCCCTGCTTGTATCCCTTGCTTCTTTCCTCAAGCTGAGTGGTTCATGCTGAATGCCATTTTCTCACCAGCATCCAGTCTAGGAGTGGGGGGTTATCCCCCCCCATATCTCCCCAGGATGACTTGGGCTTGTAGAATTGGAGAGCTCAGCTATGGCCCCAAAGCACTTTTGAATGGTGAAGCTGCCAGTTCAGAGCCACCTATGAACGCCCATAAATCAGTTCGCCGGGATTCCCCAACCCAGTCAGAAAGCCCATTTCTATAACCAAGAATCGTTTTGGTGGTGTGTGTTTGCTCCAAGGAAAGAGGAGCTGATCAGTCAGTCTAGTTTCTGGATACAGAAAGCTTTTTTTAAAAAAAAAAAAAAAAAAAAAGCAGTTTTCCAGTTGCAGACAACTGGTTCTTCATCCCCTCACCTACCAAGGCAGTTTGTCACTTTGGCCCTTCACCATGACACAGTCCACATTTTTTAGCTAAAGGCTGAAGTCTTCACCCCTGTCAAATAGAACGTCATTGCATACAGCTTTTGAGACAACTTCTGAGGACTTGCCTACCAAACTGTCTTTCCGATCCCTCACAAGACAGTGAGGCCAACTGAGAGATTGTAAACTCTCTTATGCTGGGATTGAACAGATTCAATTGATAAGATGTGTAAGGTTTACTCACCTTTAGTCACCTTAGGCTCCTCACTGATGCCTTTCTATCTTACAGACTTAGAGTCAGCTCAAAACCCCTCCCTCAGTGGAGAGAGGACAGCAGTTCAGATTCTTCTTTGAGTTCATTATAAAAAGGAAAATAGCTTTTGTCAAGTTGGGGCATCCTTTATAAATTTTGATGGTCAGAAAAAAATATGACAAGAGAAGCAGGAAAAGATCATTCCGTTATTTCAGTGGATTACTTCTTTAGTGCAAAGTTATGAAACGCTGGATTACACATTTCACATTTGCCCTCCCCCACTCCCCCTTTGGTTGGGAGAAGTGTTTCTACTATTGACTTTCAATTTTGCATAATGCCGCCTCCTTTCCTACAATACACAACACAGAAACAAATACACATTCCCTAGCCTGTTCTACTGAAGGTCACTCCTGATTTACACTCTTCCTTCCTCCCATACACACACACTCACACTTACACAGGCACATTTTTCTTGATCCAGAGAGTGCTGGGATATGCATAACTTTTTTAGCATTGCCCTGACTTTCATTCTTTTCGAGCTGATATTAAGGTGTTCATACTGAGATATAAAATGAATTATGGAGAAACGACCATGTGAGAAATTGTTTAATTTTCTGTTTTGTGGTTTGTGTTTGTTTTTCAAGTTTCATAGGACAGGCTTTATTGGCGTCTAAGTAATAGTCCCCAAGAATCCCTTATTAGATGACTTCAGACCAGCTGTAAACCAATAACATTAACGTTTCCAAAAGGGAAACTAGAAGCTAAGATCGGTTTTGTCAAGGGATTCATTTGAGCATTTATCTTTCTTTTATTTTGAATGATTTATGGGAAGAAAAGGAGGACTGAACGGGACAGGGGCAGAGAGAGAGAACCCAATGAAAACTTATTTTTAAGATTAAAGCTATTTCCCCAGACTATTGTCTTGCTACAAGTGACAACACATAAAGCAGAAGTCATGAAAGTGGATTACTGTCACTCTGGACTGTTGGAGGCCTGGAGAGCCCTGGCATTAATTCCTGTAGAAAGGTAGATACACTTAGCCACCTTCCCCTGCACTTCCCCTGCAGCGCCCTCATTGCCTAAGGGTTCAGGACTCTCTCCGAGTTAATACAGACCTCAGCTGGGTCCAGGTGGCAGGGCTTTCCCCATGAGGGGAAGCAGATGCTCTCCATGGAACTGATGAGGAAGCCGGGTGGCTGTAAGAACAGGCCTGAAGGGATGGGGCACTGTAACAGGGGGACTGTGGCCACCAGTGCCCTGGCAGGATGGCAATCAATGAGTCAAAGCTAGCTACCAGGGAATGAGAGAGAGCCAAGAGTAGGACTCTTTGGGTGCTAGAGACTAACCTTTAGCTGTTCCACTCCTCCCCCTGGGCTCCCATCCCAGGGTTTCTGGGATTGGAGCTCTAACCAGAGGAGAGGCCGAGCATGGGAAGAAAACATGCCTAGCCCCTGTCCAACACGACACATGGGTGGGACCCTGCAGAGACCGGGAGACACACCTCAAGTCCGCAGTGAGCTGTGTCTGGCTCATGCAGTTGCACATGGCCAGGGGAGGGAGGGCGCCTCATTTCCTCAGTCGCTCTGTCTGGGGTTGTTGTGTCTGCTCTCCCCCAACCCTCCGCCTCACCCCATCAGGACCACATAGAATTGAAACTCCGTTGCCTCTGCCTGCACTGAGCCTAAAAACTCAGGATTTGATAAGGTTACTGCACCACTGATACAATTGCAGATTTTTTAAAGCCTCCTCAAGGAGACAGATGTTTGGGCTGATTAAGAATTGAGGAGGAAACCTGCAGCTGCACGAAGGAATAATCTATTGGATAAATATTTTAATAAAAAAATATGAAGAGATCAGCCCGACCTTGAAAGGTCTTCTGCTTTAAAAAAATCTTTATCAAACCCCCATTCTATGGCTTCAATAAACAGAACCCATTACCTCACGGCATCTTTTGTTGGCCCCATACAAGAGAGAACAAAATGGTTATTCAGGGGAACGCTTTCGATTTTTATTGTGGGTAGCCTGCACAAAGAGCCGTGTTATTGTATTTAAAAGAACCATCTGTAGCAGAAACAATGGCATCAAATTATCTTTGAATACCCACTGAAAAAACATAAAGCTTTTTTTTTTTATTCTTCTGTACGGTGGGGGGATAGAGCAGTGTTAGGATAACTGACTTTTTTGTTGTTCTCTGGGTGCATTCTTCTCGCTCCCCCTCTCTCTCCCCCTCACCCTCTCTCTCCTCTCTCTCTCCCTCTCCCTCTCTCTCTCTCTTTTAAAAAATCAGCCATTTGGGGTTTTAAGCCATAAACGATTTTTCTTGTTGCAGGGGATTGCAGTGGCAAAGCTAGGCTAGGTCTTGGAGGCTGGTGTCAGGCGAAGCGGGTGAAGGCAGGAGGCTGATGGAGATGGGGGGAAGAAAAGCCGAAATGGATTCACGGTGCCTTGGATGGAGGACGAGAGGGGAATTGCAAGCTCCTTCAACTCACTCTGTCCGGTGAGAAGTGATCAAGCCTGGGCTGACAAGAGGCTCAGGGAGCCCTCACGTTCTTTCGCTTTTTTACCTGCCAATCAAACTGCTACAAGACAACACCCTGATCTGGCATGGACATGTAAGTAGCTTGCAACCCAACTTTGACATTCACTGCTAGCGCGCTCCTCTCCGCCCACCCCCCCCAACTCACTTTCTTCCCCTCTCATGCTATTTTTTTTTCTTTTGACCTTTAAGAGATCTGGAAATACACCCTGTGTGGCAGTCATTTAACACAGGCAGATTTAAGTCTGAAAGTGTTAACTTTTGGAATTAAATGCTAATTTTGATTTCTTTAACAAATGCAGAAATGAAGTGACATTTTATTCTCTTCTGAACAGTTTTAGTGCTGAACATAATCAGTTGCCTTACAAGGGTGTGTGTTTCTTTTTCTATGAAAATGAAGAAATCCGTGAGCCCCCAGAGAGAAACACAGAAATGAAAAATTAAGGCTTCCATCCTAAAAATGTTAAATTCTAGCATTTCAGCCCTACAAAGAACCTCCTCCAGACCAAGGTTACGTAGAGTGGAAAGAGTGATTGGAGTCAAAAGGTGCATATCATTAAGGGGTTGCTACCCTGTCGTCTGGCCTCTGACCATTTTGGTGGTGGTTGTGGGGGAGGGGTGTGAAAAAAGAGAAGGAAAGGGACATGGTGACACATCGTTCTTTATGAGAGATTGACACTGAGGGGGCCAGAGATGCAAGAAGGCAGGATAAGCAGGAAATATTACCTGAGAGAAGGAATTACAGAGCATGGCGAAGCTGGAAGCTAGGAGGGCTTCTGTGGGAAGTTGCGTGAGGGGGTGACGGGGCTTGCTCTCTGGCGCCCTCTAATGGCAATTTGAATCAATGTTTTACTTCCTTAATTCAGTACTGGGAAAAGCAGCTGGGTTTTTGTTGCTGTTGGTGGTTTTTTCTCCGCAGACTTAGAAACTAGAGACTATTAGTGGAGCAAATTGATTGTTTTCATCCCAGAAACTTATGTATATGCCTTAAAATTATCAATGTTTTCTCCGCAAACCTCCCCTCCTCTCCTGAAATTTTGATAGACTAATAGAGGAGGGAGGCTAACGGCAAATCGACATATAGAGGGTGGCCCATGCCCAATTAGTAATTCGGGAAAAGGGATTCCTTTCCTACCTGAACAGCATTCTGACTCTTCCAATATGCTCGAGAGGCGCAGGGGGGTGGGGTAGGGAGGGATGATTTGGAAATTGCAGATTCTGACACGGGCTCATTATAATACAATTTAAAGGGGGCCCTTAGGCACTTCTGTTATTGCGACATGTGGTGGTCAGGGGGCTTTCCTTCCCGCCTCCTTTTTCTTTTTTCTTTTTCTTCTTTCTGTCGTTCTTTTTTTATTTTTTTTAAATTTAGTAGATAAAGGTTAATCTTGGGCTGAATGATGGAGCTATGATTGACAAGAGAAAAGGTGTTGAGGGCAGGTCGCGCTGTCTTATTTACAGCCCACTGCTTGCTGTAGAGTCTTTGTTAGGACTGGAAAGCTAATTTAGTGCTGATCAAAAGCACCACAGAGTTAAAGGACTGGTAATGACTGCTAATTTCATTTCAGCCTCATGCATCCCCAACCGCTGTAATTAAAGACACGCTATTTAAATACAGGTGAAGGTTGTTGTTTTTTTTTTTTTTAAGTTGGGGTGGGGGTGGGTGGATTACAATTTTATTTAGATTTCATCTTCTACATGGGTGTTATGTAGTCCAACATCAGATTTTTTTTAGAGCCGCTTCTTGTCATTTATACCTGGCTTTGCAGAATCGGCAGTATGAAATGTGTCAATCACAATAAAAGCCCCTGTTTAAAGAAAGAAAAAAAAGGGGGGATGCAGAGGAGTAACTGTTTAGGGGGGATTTAAATATTTGGGTCTCTTTTTTTCCCCTTCAAATTAATAGAAGGGCCTTCGAAATAGCTAAAGTATTTGAAACTTGGGGCAGGGTTAACAGGGCAAAGGGATCAGTGTCAGCTTTTTAAGTACTTCTAAAAAGATCATGTGAACAGATGGAAAAATATATTTTTAATTAAATAATTTCCCCCACACTGTAGCTGCAGTGTTGGCTCAGAAACCGTGTAATTCCTCAACCGATAGGAGTTTCTTTATGAGAACATCAAAGGATAAAAAGCTCTACATTTTCGTAGTTGGTTAAAATTGATAACCCTCCCCCCCACACACACACCCAAAAAAAGAATTTAGCCTTTAATCTCTTTTTATCCACGAAGACTAAAGCTCTGTACTCGACCCGGCGAGCGGCTCTCGCCTTCCGGGGCTGGAACCCGGCTCAGATGTGAAGCGGCGCTGAGCCGCCGCGCAGGTTCGTGCCCAGCGCCCCCTGTTGGACACAGTAGGAGCTGCCCAGCGCCAGTCCTGGAAATGGCTAGAACCGTGCTCTGGGGTTAGATAAAACTCTTTATTACCCTCCAAAAAGGAGATGGGGCGAGGAAACAAGTTTTTATATTTTTGAAAGATAATATAATCTTAATTCAATAAGAAATAAAAAGCAGATAATACAACTTTAATTCAATAAAAAAAATACAGACTAACCTATTCTTTCTTCTCGCGTCCCAGCCACTCCCTACCCCAGTCTGGGTTTGGGATTTTTTTAAAGATTCTGCAATGGTAAAACAGATGAAGCATGATAAAAAAAAAAACCAAAAAACACAAAACAAAAAACAGAATTTTCTTCTGTAGCAGTGGAGAACCAAGCAAAAGTTACTTCTCCCGTTCTGTCCAAATTTCAAAAAATAAAACGGAACATGCTGCTGCTTGCCGTTTTAATGTTTCAGCAGCATCCTGAATGCCCTTGGAGGGCCTTCAAGTATTGCAACTGAGTATCTGAATAATTGAAATAACCTTCTCCTTTTTACTTGTTTATTTTCAGAGTGTAATTAAAAGGCCGGTCTCTTCTTTGGGTGTTTCCCATCCCCCAGACCAATCTTGATCAAACTTTTCCTTTCTCGGCTAGCGGTCAAATTCCAGATATTGTTTAAGAAACAGGTGCCTGACACTTTTCTTCTTTTATCTCAGCAGTTAGGATTTCAGGGAAAGTGTGCCGATGATAAAGAGTATTTTCGTTTGAAATTCAGCATTTTCATTGACCAGGAATCCAAATTATCCTAGGGGAAGAGGAGTATTTTTACACTTCCAAAAACTACCTGTCTACATAAGAAAGAGCTCTGACTTGTTCTTTGCTCAGCACGTGAGGGCAAAAGTACACTTTGAATTCTTTCGGAAAGGTATAAAAATGACACATCCTCTGAATTTAAAACAGTGGGAAAATATGGGTTTGTTTAGGTGTTTAAAATCAAATTGAAACAATTCGAGTGCCAAATAAACACATATGATCCCACAAGGTGTTTTACGATTTCGATCTTCAGAGATATACTTACAATTTTAACTTTGAGATAAAAATCTTAAGACGTTTAGGGCTTGCTTTTTTTTTAAAGTTTGCCTATTGAAGAAAACTAGCTTAATTTTCACGACAGAATTCGTTTTTAAAATATTTAATACTGTAGCTACGCAAGTTATGTTGATCTTTATTCCCCCTACCTCCCCAAATCAGCGGATCCCAGATTGTGTTTTCAGGGGAATTGCTCTTCGGTGCGATGAGAGATGCCTTCTCCATCTGATTCCAGAATCGAATCTCAGCTTATGTTTCTCATAAATGAGTTCAGTTACAGTGGCAGGAAAAGAATCGAGGCTTCTGATCAATTTTTACCCGGAATTCTATTGAAATGACGAGCAAGCGGGATTCCCTGCTACGGACACCCCCACCCTTTGCTTTACCAAAAGACTAGTCCCCGTTACAGAAGTGTTGAGTCCGGGCCGGCTTTGGAACCAGCGCCAACCACGTAAGGTAACAAACGGTGCGCTGACAGCCGCGGTCCAAGGCAGCCCACGGCGTGGGGAGGCCAGAGCCGGTAGAATCTTGGAGGCGACCGGCGAAAAGGGATATATGTCTGCTGTTCGGAAGTGATGTCGAATTGGCAATGGCAGAGGCCCGGGGATTTCGACCGCGTTCCGCCCCAAGGGGGTCCCAACCTGTAGGGGGAAGGCAGGGGGAGGAGCCGCACCTGGCTGCGGGCGGGCGGGCGGGCGTGAGTCCCCACCTTTCCAGGGCCCAGGGAAAAAGCGCAACCCCTAGTTTAGGAAAGAGAACTAGACAAGTCGGTGACCTAGGCCTGGGGATGCCACCCAGCTCTCCCAGCGCAGTGTCATTTCTGTGGTTTCAGGCGGCCTCAGCCCCGCCGGAATCCCACGCCCCGCGGCGGCCAGCAGGAAGGTGGCCCTTCCATCTCTGGGGCTGGGGAGGGGGCAGCGTGTGACTGACTTCTTAGTAGCAGGCAAAGCCTGAACGGCTGGCAACGGGCCGCGATTCTCCGCAGCAGCAAAGCGCCCTTTAGGGGCGGGGCGGGCGCTTTTGGTCTCTTGTCTCAGCGTCCAGGCCTGAGCCCCGGCCGTTGGCTGCGCGCCCTGCTTTATAAGTAGTCAAGCTTGCCCGATTCGGAGGACGATCCAGGAGGATGGGCCAGCCTAGCTTGGGCCCACTGAGTCGTGCCAAGTCCTCAGCCCCCTCTCCCCTCCATCCCTAACACCTTTCCTGGTGAACCCAAGCCTTACTCTGAAAGCTGGTGTATGTGGCTTAGAGTTTGGTGGCTGTTTGGAGGTGGAGAAAATGACTGATTGTTAAGACTGAGATGGAAGGATGAGTCCTCATTTATTAAGTTTGCTCTTTTACTTTGTCTCTAAACTTTGAAGGTCCTTTAGTTCCCTTGATCCAACCCTGAGACAGAGGAAGGCGCCAGGGAGAAAGCCCAGCCAGGCTTGAAGGAGCTAAGGTATAGACAGATACACATCTCTTCACCACTCAGCCTGGCAGATACACCCTGCCAGACTGTGCGTCCTAATCCAGGGCCCAGCTGCTACGTGGGTTGCTGAAGGGTGTTGAAACCACAAGTACAACTTGACACCATTGAGCCCACAGTGCTTGTCAATAATCTGTGAATTAGGTGCAGAGATTGTCACTGTAGATCATAACAGTTTCTGAAGGACTCATTACAGCCTATC